TGAGAAGTAGACATATGTGAAAATTATATTTGTAAAATCTCAGAGAAATTAAAATGAGTAATTCTAACGTTTCGTTCGGCAAACTGGTCAGAACTTATTCAGGAAACTTTATCGAAATTAAAATAACACAGGTTCATGTATATATGAAGGACATTTCCCGTTTTTAAAAACTTTGTCCAATCATATGAGTGAGTCATGAAACAAGCATCAAAATATGATAAACAAGATTGCATGAACTGTGATCTAAATTGCAAATATTAGTCTACTTTTGTTAAACAGCGTGTACTTTTTCATTGGAATATGGAGTGAAGAATTCGCGCGACTTATATTGAAGAAGATGAAGTAATGGCAAGTTTCGAGATTTGTTCATTATTCATGAATGTTCCCATTAATGATTCTTCGTTCTGACAATGAACTCAGTGCTTATTGTCCTTTAAATCCAGATGAAATTATGAAGGTATTGGAACTGCGTCTACGCTCCACGTCATTTACATTTAGAGGGGTTCTCTACAGTTAAACAGAAGGCATTGCTATGGGATCACCAGTGTCTCCGCTAATCACGGACCTGTTTATACACTCATTAGGAACAATGCAATTAGAGATGTTCAGCTCCGAGACTGTGGTTAAAATACGTGAATGATACCTTCGTCATAATCAGACGCAGTATGTTCAGTGAACTTTGTCATTTAATAAAACAATATGTCAGAAACCACTGAGTTTATCAAAGAGATTAACTCCGAAGAAAATGATTTGGCGTTCCTGGACTGTTTAGTAAAAAGACAACCAGATAGTCAACTGAAAATAAACATTTTCAGAAAGCTGACACATTCGAACAGATACCTAGACTACTATTCAACACACCCCTTTACCACCAAAGTAACTGTGGTCAAAAATCTGATTAACAGAGCCAAACTTCTAGTTACTGAGGAGGAAGAGATTAGCAAGGAACTAAAATTGGTTCAGTCCACTCTTGAATCAAATAATTATCCTAAAGCCTTCATAAAAAGATATTTAAAATGTGAAGATAAGGATGAATCGAAACCTGTTGTTAAGAATTGGGTTAGTACAGTGGTGATTCCTTACCGCAAAGGAACATCAATTAGATAAAGCGAATCCTTAACAGTCATGACATAGGAATATATTTCCGTGCAGCCAGCACTCTACGCTGACCACTGGTGAAGATTAAGGATGAAATAGAAGAAGACAACCAACAGAATTGTGTGTACCAGATCAATTGTAGGGAGTGCGACGCTGTATATGTAGGAGAAACTTCCAGACAGGTAAATATAAGAGTGAAGGAGCATAAATAATGTCTAAAGGTGGTTCCAAAGACCTTTGCAGACTTAAAGAAGCTAGAAAACAGATCAGCGATTGCACTGCATTCGATAGAAACGGGACACAAAATCGACTTTGATAAGACTAAGGTTTTACAGAAAGGTTTTGGTTCATATAAAGAAAGATTGACTGCAGAAGCCCTACATATATGGGTGAATCCCAACAGTGTGAACAGACGTGAAGGTGTGATGTTAGCTGATGCATGGCTAAAAATGAATATATATCACTAATCAATCATACTTGATCTAAATTCCCGATTGTCTATATCTTCTTATGGAGAGGCTAACAAATGATTTACAGTTGTTGCCGCATACACAAATGCACACACACCACTGTATACCGCATTTACATATTTACTTTTCAGATTCAGTTATCTATGACCATGAACTTCATATATACATGAACCTGTGTTATTTTAATTTCGATAAAGTTTCCTGAATAAGTTCTGACCAGTTTGCCGAACGAAACGTTAGAATTACTCATTTTAATTTCTCTGAGATTTTACAAATATAATTTTCACATATGTCAGTATTAGGATGTTCATATTATGAAGTTCAAATAATATAATAGACCCTATAGATCTAATAAATTAAGAAGCTTGGCAAAACACGCCTATTAAACAAGAATGTAGATATGATGGAGATTTGTAGCTCAGGTGGATGATTTTGATGTGGTTGTGTTCTCTGAGCTGGATGGTTTATTTACGAAGGTTCCATTGCCCTACTGGACAACATCTTCAGCCCATACTTCAATTTGTTGAAGTGAGCTTTTAGATTTCTCCACGAGTTTATTAGTCATCTCTCCTGGTGATCTTGAACGTGATTGGTTGTTTTCGTGTGCTTTCACACCCTCTAGGCTACTTGTATTGGTATTGTTATTGTTTCCTTGACCTGAACTTTGACCTCTTGTGTGTGAGATTTCCTTCTTATCAGCTGGTAAATTTTGTCTATGTCAATGTGTCTATTGACTGACGATTCACTGGAATACCAAGCTTCTAAAAATTCTCTAGCATTCTTAGTGTTTCCTCTGTCTAATATTTGAACACTGGTTGTCCCAGTCGAATTGATGTCCGTGGTTGTCTGTATGTAGTGATATGAGGAAGTGGATGTCATGTCTTTTGACGGCTAGTTTATGATCATGGATACGAAGACGAAGGGGACGTCCACTTTGGCCAATGTAGTGTTTTTCGCAGTCGTTGCAATCACGTTCAAGGTCACCAGGAGAGATGACTAATAAACTCGTGGAGAAATCTAAAAGCTCACTTCAACGAATTGAAGTGTTAGGACAATGAAAGCTTCTCAAATTAACTATCCAGCTCAGAGAACACAACCACATCAAAAACAAGAATGTGTTTCTAATGATTGGGTGACAATACTATAGATAATATTTTTTCATATTGCTTTTCTAAATGTACATTTACTAAAAATAAAATACATCTTGAATTGAAACTACTAATAACTATTGAATAAAATTACATCAAAATGACCGCGATATTTGTTAGTTTAATTGTAAATCGATTTAATTTTATTATGGCAGTAATATTTATCTGTATGGTTCAAATTAACTAAGTAATTAGCTATTATTAGGAAGCATTTGAACTGATTCGATTGTCTCAGCTCAGTCAAATCAGGCACAGTGTTGATGAGCATCTCTATGCCATCCGGCATATATCATATCAATCATATCAATCAATTAGTAGTATATGACATCATGAAGTTATACTTCTTTTCTCTATTATCCTTTATGTTATCAAGCAGATCACATACTGTTCTGAATATTTTCGTTTTTTCAAAGGTAATTAGTAGTGAATTTTCATCTTAAACTGTGTAATTTACAAATTTTGAGGCTAATTCTACAATACATACTTTCTTCTTGCATGACTTACCTCACTCTGATGACGAAATGAACTTTTTTAAGTATGCCGATGATCTAACTATTTCAATGTCTGTTAACTCCCAGCTAGACTGTACTAAGATGAACAGCTTTCTATCAGCAGTTAGCAAATGGTCTTCGTCTAATGGCCTTAAACTAAATCCCTCTAAATGTCAGACTGTTAATTTCAGTTTCCGATGTAAAAGAAAGTTAAATGAAGCTGTTGGTTCCTATGACCGTTGCAAAATTGATGATAGTGAGGATATAGAAATCAAGTCTGAAGTTAAGTATCTTGGATTAATTCTTTCTTCTAACCTATCCTGGTCATCCCATGTCTTAGCGATTTCTAAGAGAATATTCCGTCTGACTTTTTACATTAAGAAGTTAAGGCACTCAGGCATAACTCAACCACCTCCTCTTACAGTTTGTCAACTCGTGCATCTTACCTATTCTTCTTTACTGTTCACCCTAGCTTATTCTTTCCTGGATTGCTTAAAAAAGACTATGTCATACTTCGTAGAACTCTGAAGACTGTCAGTAGGGCGAGTACAATCCCATTGGGGCATATCGTTGACATTGTCATTGATAGGCACTTGATTTCTGGCAACAAATTTGCTAAAGGAATTTTGTCAGACTGTAAGCACCCACTCTACCCGCAGTTCCAACCTTGTGTCTCCTCAGGTAAAACAAGAAGTCTTTTCAGAAGACTCTATGTACGTACGTCTAAGTATAAAAATTCCACTATACCATATTTGGCACGTACTTTATGTGATGAAAATAGTGTTAGGTATGAACTAACTAACCTTCTTTGCACTACTAAATAAACCATTTCCTGCACCCTTACAACATAAAACTTTATTGTTATTGTATTTCTTATATTTATAATCCTCTCAATTTTTGGTTTTATTTGTTTATTTTTTCATAAGTGTGAACATCATTTAAGCTGTGTTATAACTGTTAATTTTGTATTTCCCTCACTACTATATCAACAGAACTTAGATCAATAATCTATAACATGCTAAAATTTCCAAACTGAATCGACAATACTGTTTGAAACAAACTCACTGTTATTATTATTATATTTAATATTCTCAATTCGTGCTTCGAATATTTTTGACTTTATATCGTAAATGTGGACAAATTCCTCTGGTTAATTTTGTTTTAATTTTTAATTTTATTTATATTTTAAGTAAACCAGATGCAATATTGTGACAAATGCTGAGAATTCCATTCTGTATTATAAGTACTGTTTTTGGAATAAAGTAGATTATTATTATTACTAATTGATATTAGTAGTTACTAACTTTGAAATCGGCGTGAAATTTTGCTGCTCTTATTAGCATAAAGAACTAGATTGGGATTTTCGACACTAATGTCGAATCACTTCTTTCAAATATGGTTTAGAGACTTGGTGTGTCACTGAAAGTATTTAGAACAGGCTTCTGAAATCCACCAACAGCTGCCTTCGCTGCGTGCGTGCTGAAGATCAGATGGTTGGTCAGAAAGGATAGACATCAAGGATTTCTATCAACGAACTAACCAGGAAACTATTGCCTAACAGATATGTCAAAGGTGGAGGTGAACAGGACACACGTGGGAAGACTGTTAAGTGAAATCACACGTCAGACCTTCAAGTGGAACCTGAATCGGAGATCCAAGGGTGACATGTGAGGAGATAAAAGCCTATAGGGAATCGTGAAGCCAACTAATGAGGACTAAGGAGAACAGTAGTTTTGTATACATAATTATCATTATAAGACTAAAAAAAGTTAAAAAGTCATAGCAGAACTTACTTTACATATTGTAAGCTGTAAATGATAGTCACTTCCACCTTGAACACGAAAACCCCATGGTGAATCAACTGATGCTCGTCTTAATACAATATTAACCGGTGTTGTCTCTTCTGATTTCTTGCCTTGATGATGCTGATGATGTCCACCTCCAGTGTTGTTAACAACACTATGACTATAATTACTATTACTACTGTTATTATGATTATTATTGTTATTACTAGTATTTCCAGTAAGCATATCTAATGCATTTGTTAGTGTTACATGTGGTTTCGAGGAATACATTAGATTATTATTATTGTTCAACTGTCCACAGTATTTGTTGCTATTTGATGAATTCATCTTCGACATTGATGAATGTCCTGGTGGAGGTTGACTTGCTACTGAACTAAAATATAAATTCATTGTAATGCTTTATGCTTCTGTAGATACAACAAAAATATATATATTTCACGATATTAGAGTTAATCAAATAACAGTGATACTCTGTATAAGCGATGAATCAGTGAATTTGATAATTTTTTACTTTATACTACTTATATATTCTGCCAATTGTATAACAAAAATACGTCCTATATGGAAGAGGTGTGTATCTTTTTGCTAATTGAAGTGAGAGAAAAATCAATACAATTTCAACTGTGACCTGATATTACACACACTTTATATATATATCATAAATAGGATGATAGCCTAAAGGAAAAGAAACCATTGACCAATCTGTTTGCTGTGTGTTACTCTTTTCTATTGGTTTATTATTATCATCCTTATTTTAAATGGGGAATTTTCTGTGCATTTCTGTCTAAATAGTTTTGAATAGTGTTTTTTTGATGCACGCATGACAAACAGTCAAACATATATACATACATACAGTAATAGGCAGCATAAACGTCTAGCAAGACACACTGGGCATGCTAAATGAAAGTATTACTGTGCATATATCTATGTGTGTGTGTGTATTTTGAGATAATTCAACAGTGAATGGATTTAGGTTTGGTGACTGAACTTGACGATTGAACATCGCCATATTGTCACCAGTGAAAAGAAACAAATGGTGGTTTGTATAGTTAACAGAAAAACAGGTGAATCGTGGAATTTAAGCAGAATTCACCACCTACTTACTACTTAATAGCTCAGTAATATACCTACTTAATTTTTGTAGGAATTTAAAGCACACGTGACAAGTGTTGTATTATTTGTCTGGTGGTTGGCGCCTAGCAGTTGAACAGCTGTGTGAAAAATTCTCATGTGATGTGAATTAAGAACAATAAACGATCTCTTTTCATGGCTTCATTGCAAAGCTGTACAGTTATTTTGCGGTGGGGGTGGGTGATTTAATATCTACAATGTTAACTGAGAGTAAATATTTATTCATTCTTTTGCGTTCTGAGTGGAACATAGGACCTAGAGCTGTAAGCTTTAAAGTTTCAGTATCATTGTTGTCTATTTCTTACAGGGTATGGTGGCTAGCTTCAAGTCCAAAATTCCCTCTTTACTGGGGCTACTACCAGCTAAGTGAGGTTCAGGGGGGGGGAACCTGACTCTCAATCGAACCCCGGACCAATTTAGTAGTTGGCGATCATTCTACCCCTGAACCATCGACAGAAAAGATCAGAGGTTACTCTCAGTTAGTAATAAAGATCAATCAAAATGTATAAGAAATAACACTGCTTGGGAAAATAGTTAGTAGGCTTACGTAATCGAAGAAAGTTGACAGCTAGGTAGTTAAGTAATGGGCAGTGTTTTATACAACCACTCCCATTGAACGATGTGAACAAAGAGAGAACCAATATATTTGCAGTGTTATTCTGCAGCATGACATCATTATATGATTCAGTAACTTCTTTCTGTAGGAGGTGTCGTTTCAAGAATTTCATACATCTACTTTTATTGATTAGTTTGAATATATATATCTTTCGATAGATAATAGCAAAGAACTCTTCAATGTTAGCTTTGTGACCAGTTTGGATAAGGTGATCTAATATAGAAGTGCTGATGGTTTTAACTACCTCTTTTACTTAGCCACACTGGTATGTGTTCCAGAGCATGAAAATTCCGTTCCTAGATCAACGATCAATACAACTGGGTCCACAGTAGTAGTTGAACTGGTATACACAATAAAAGAAAGTTCTCATTTTATTGACTATATATTGATGATATGTTCATCCTTTGAGGAAAATGATGTGGACAGGTGCGCAGTAATACCTTAATTCGATGAAATTCATTCAACTTTCAAATTCATGTATAAAGAAGCACAAAGTTAAATTGCCTTTTTACACAGTCTACTCACAAGTAGACCAGATGGTAGTACAAAAAGAAATTTGCATAAGAAAAGTACATTGACAGGACAATATACACATTTTCATAGCTTTGTCCCTCTCCAGTACAAAAGAAATTTCCTAAAGACACTCAGATAGAGGGTCAGAGCTATTTGTTCATAGGATGCAATCGTAGATGAACTCAAAGTTGTATATGAAAAGTTAACTAAAAATAGCAACCCTGAAATATTCATCACGGAACACATAGTCAAGAAATTAGGGAAGAATTCTTCTATATCTGCTAACCAGAAACCCCTACATATACTGAAAAGAAGAAAATTTGATGAAACGTGTGTGGTACATAGCTAAATTTGGTATACCATATTCTCAACCGGCCATTTGCACATCTTTACCACATCCTTGACGAATTGGTCGAATATCGTCTCATTTGATAGCTTCTTGGATTCTGCATCATATGGCAACATTCTTCTCATGGTTCTCTTCTTTGATTGCTCTTTCCAGTGTGCCAAACATATTGTTACTTTTATGAATTCGTTTCTGATATACTACTTATATCGGATTATAAGTAGCACTCACCACAATACGACTGAAATTCAAAGGTGATGAACCAACGAGTTGAGATCGGTTCAAATGACTTTTACTGACAGTAAGCTGCAATCCACATTTTCCCCACGACTGGTTGTGATTCCGAAACTGATAGACAAAGTACCTAGGCTAGCCACCACTAATTGTATCTTCCGATTCAACTACTCCTGTTTTTTCTTTTTATTCCTTTAGGTTCCTCGTGGAACATAGGGCTTCAAGCTAGAGCTTTGAAGTCTCGGTATCAGTGATGTTTATTTTTAGCTAGCTAACCCCATGTCCAATCTTCCCTTTTTACTGGTCTTATTATCGGCTTAGTGAGGTAAAGGAGTGCGTCGGCCGGGGATCGAACCCGGAACCATATACGTGGTTGGCGAGCACCGACGCTAAGATTATCGGAGCGAGGCGCATGCATATAGCAAACAGCCTTCTTCAAACCTTGCACACAACCATTAGGTCGCGTACTATCCTATCTCCCTTGGTAGATCTGGGAACAAAAGTCACGAGAACACCATCCGAGCATATGACAGGTTAGGTATCCCTGCTCATGTGGAGCCAGTTATATTGACTATTTCTGTAGGGACTTAATTCTTCCTGCTTGGGAACACCTACCATTGGGGCTGAATAGAAGTATAGTTAAAACCGTATATCTTGCAGACAAAATTTCGCTCGGTCACTGATAAAATGACTTAACATTTTTTCTTCATAATTATGTGTTTCAGACTAAGAAAATATGTAACTGATTTTATATTTTTGAAAACATTTTCGAGGTTAATTGGTCAACAACACGTGTCTGAAAGACTTTGAGAAGTCTAGATAAGTGGATGAATTACAAAATTATTAAAGATTGTTTTATAAGTGAATTGATATGAAAAAAATCTCAAGCGTTGCCTAAAAATTTTAAAAATTAGGAGTACGATTACGATAAGAATAAAGATGTGAAGTGAAGTGGAATGAATTCAAGTGGTAAAATAAAATGAAAACTAGAAAGAACATTACTATGACCAAGGTAAAGAAAGGGGTTTGACAAAACGTTTTTGAGCACATAATTTAGGTTTCTGTTCATGTATAGCTAAAGCTTCGGCTATGCATAAGTGAAGAAAACGTAAACTTTTGGATCGATTCGATTTTGCCATGTAGATAACTTTGAAAGATGAATCACTGGGGCTGAATGACCAGACTCTAACAGGTGATCACAAATAGACGACTTCGCAGTTTTACGTTCGCCTTTCATTAACCAAACCGGATAGTGTTCAGCTACACGTTTTCGGAGATTACGCCTACAACGTCCAATATAATCCGTTCCACAGGAGCAGGTAAAAGAGTAAATGCACATAGATGTGGACATAAGCGGTAATCTATCCTTGACGCATTGTCTAATCATATTTCGGCTGGTAAAAACTAGTTGCAAGTCAGCTGCATGAAAAGAGCGTTTAATACATTTAGATAAACGATTTTTAATCAATTCAGCAATGGTGTCACCTTTGAATGCAAGACTCATAAACAGTTTTTTCTTTGGCACTGTGATTTGTCTAGGGGCGGATTCTTTCTTGATGTTACGTTCAATAAACCTTGTAGGATATCCATTGTTAAGGAGATTTGATCGAAGGTTATCTAGTTCTCTACTGATTGTCTCTATAGAGCAGATTTTACGAATTCTGGAGCATAAGGAATGAATAAGATTTCTCTTTCTCCCTAAAGGTACCCAAATGTTGAAGTTAGTGTACTGCCCTGTGAATGTTGGCTTTCGGTAAATCGACCTTAACAGCGTTCCATTCTCTCTTCTATCTAGCTTAACGTCAAGGAAGTGAAATGAGGAATTCGACTCTTCTTCGACCATGAAAAGCAAAGATGGGTGAGAACCATTAAATATTCCAAGAAGTTCGGCAGTTGAAGAGTTTTCCTCACAGACAATGAAGGTATCATCTATATATCTTTTATACATAAACACACTCTCGATGGTTTCCTTTAGTGGGCCGTTCTCCAAGCTTGCCATGAAGACATCCGCTAAGAGCGGTCCTAAAGGAGACCCCATGGCGACTCCGTCCCTTTGATTGTAGATGACTTCATTAAATCTAAATTGCACATTCAGTGTGCATCTCAATAATAGTTGTTTCAGATATTCAGTTGGTAAGCCGATGTTCATGCTATTTAAATCAATATACTCGCATAGATAGCAGATAGTGTCTACTAGTGGTACATTTGTGAACAGTGAACAAACATCTAACGAAATCATATGCTTACCGGTCACATTAATTTCATCAACGCAACTGACAAAGTCAAAAATGTCGGAAAGACTATGTTTACATAGATTTGATCTAACTGGTTCCATATCCAATACAGGTCGCAGAGGGACATCATCTTTGCGCACCTTTGGAAGATCATATAAACGAGGGATAGTTGAACCAGATGGTTTAAGCTGTTCATACATATATGGAGTAATAATGCAATCTTGCTTCAATTTCGTCAAAGTTTTTGATAATTCCTTCTCAATATTCTCCGTCTTGTCTTTTTGGTCAGGTGATTTTTGAAATTTATCTTCATCACTAAGGATGGTACATAATTTATTGACATAGTCATCACGATTAAGAATAACAATACCTGATCCTTTGTCTGGACGAATCAGTATTATGTT